ACTCGCTGAGTTTTGGAGCCTTTCCCTTGCAAAACTTGCAGGAGGCTCTATGTTTCCTTTTCCCCTTTTCTTCATATTCTTCGTGGTCGACAAACCCGAAATGGATGATCCGGGAATTTGAAGACATTTTGAACGATTCTCAATGTTTTGTTAGCAAAGCGACTAATCAGAGTGACTAAAAGTGTAAGTACTTCACACGTCATGCACGTGCGAATGTACATGTACGCGCACGCGCACACATCCACAGTACAGCGAAGGTTCCCTGTATCCATTGCCATTAACACACGTTCAGGCACACCGTGGAGGGGAAACCAGTCCAAAGCGGGAGTTAGACTGGTTCTATGGCAAGAAGATGATGCAGTGAGTATGTGCGATGCATGGTGCAATGAAACAGCAGTGACGGTCTATGGGTACGGCATGGTGGACCAGAAGCCAGTCTAGCAAGGAGTAGACTCGCCGGTTCGCCGAGGACTAAAAGACTCATAAGTGACGCACGCAATGGTGTACATGTACATGTATGTACATTACATAGTACGACTGTAGGCCGGCGGGCCGTGATGGGAGGCACTTCAACTTTTCCAGTTCATTCATTCGTGCGTGCGTGCTGCACGTATTTTTCATTTAGTTTAACACGGAGGGGAAATACAAAGGGAACCCATTACTGCAGCTTTTCGGAAGTTTTAATATGGTAATAAAATATAAAATAATTTGAAACCGAAAACGCATTTGAATTGGTGGAAATTGGGCGGCCTCGAGCCGGCCTCGACCAGTTTCACGAGGCCGGAAAGCCCCGAGGCCAAGGCCGAGGCCGAGGCATCAACGTCCCAAGGCCAAGGCCGAGGCCAAGGCCTCAAAAATCGGCCTCGAGGCCGGCCTCGAGGCCGAGGCCGGCCTCGAGACCTCCAACACTGTCCAAAATGCTCAGAATTGGAAGCCCCAAGTTCGGGCCAGAGGTTGATTGCAATATCTCTTCAATTCCCCAATTTAATGGCTCTCAGAACTCTCTAATATAGAATATTTTCAGGGTATAACTAGGGGTGGGTATTAGCCCATACTTTTTTAGCTGCCCCCCTCAAAATATGTAGTGATTCATGAGAATCAAGGGAAAAATACTTAAAAAAATTATTTGAGACCGTTAACCCCCTGTACATGGCCCTCAAAGTGTCATTTGAAAATATGGTATAGTACCCCGTCTCCTTGTACACAAAATATATATGTAACCTTTTTCGGCTCCAGTCTATATTCTTCCACACTGGTCTAGCCTAGAAATAACTTAGTAAAACAGAGGAAATAAAGAAACTTCCCTTATTTTTTGTTTAGTTAATCCTTTTGTTTCACATCTGCAGTGTATTTCATGTATGTCATTACTACTTTAACCATATTGCCATTACAAATTCTGACTTTTAAAAAGTTAAAATCTTAGGTTTAAAACACATGCCCATGCAGGTTTGTATGTGGAATGCAGTTATAAGTAGGTCTACTTATTTTTGTTATGCCTGAAAACAAGATGTTTTCATCACATACCAAAACAATAATTACAAACACAAAAGTTGAAAAACATGTTCCTGAAATTAAATGGGCCTTTGAAAATTGCCAAAAGGTAAGGACGGCACTTTTAATTGTTTGCGATTTGTTGAATTTTCCCGTTTTTCCCAGCTTGCACATAACTTGGCTAGTATTAGTCCAAATGTTAAACAAGTTCACATGCTGATTTGAAAGGGAAAAGTAGATAATATTATATTCTATTCACTCAAAAGTCATTGCAGAGGGTATGATTAAGAGCTCATGATTCAGAGGTCAGTGATTCATGCTGAATGCATTTGAATACTTGAAGAGATGTCCATGGATCTGTTGAAAATAATCCATCGAGTGAGTCTGCTTTGGAGGTTATATTGTCCAAATATAGCATCAGATTTGCCTAGTCTAGGGCCTATAGCCTTCCACACATCCACCAACCTGGTCTGATTATGTGAATGGTCCTCCCATGCCTTCTAGTTTATCTTCGAGTTCATCCTGTGCAGAATTCCACTGCACATTACTTCTGGTATAGAGTAAAATTATTACACCTGAGTATTCTCGGAAGGAACCTGGCTATCTTCACTCGACACGATCAATAGTTAAAGCTTTGACCATGTTGACTTGGGCTGATGAAACACTAAATATAATTAATGCAAGGTACCTATCTGACCATCTCACTACAAATAAGAAACAAAATATCCATGAAGTTTCCTGCAAGGCAGATTTCAACATTGGTAAAGTAATAAGTGGAGGTCACAAATTGTAAACTTTAACAATCACGACAATGCAACTTAATCACCCTGTACCGAGTGGTGATATCACAATAAAAAAGGAGGTGTTCAAGTTATTATTGATAATCTCCAGATAAACAGTGTTTCACAAAGAAAAGGTCCATCAGTCATACGAATGTACTTGTATACAAGTTTCAAATTAGGAGGGTATAGTCCTATGCTCAGGGAAAGTGAGTGGGTAAAAAACAGTCACCCAACTTATGGACCAAATAACAACTTTTCCACAGTCAGTGCAAGAATAGGCCAGTAAAAAGTAACTTTACATAAGGTAGCATGTTTGAGTAATCATTGAACTGCAAAATCTATTGCTTTTATTGACTTGAAACCGTCGACTTTGTCCACAAAATATGAACAGCTGATCTCCTGTATGGCACAAATGGTTTTTAATATTTATAGTCTGGTACCTTACAATTTGCCTTTCTTAAGTACATTATAAGTCAGGGAACATGTCAGTTCAACTAGCCATAGAGGGCACTCTTCGCCAAAATCCTTTTGGCGGCATGTACAGGGTGGTTAAACTTTTCACATTTTGTTTTTAATGTTTAATTCTTGTTTCTAGTAGGCTACTACATATATTGAATATAATACAAATATTGAAGGGGGCAGAATATCAAAAAGTGGAAAAAAGTGAAATAATACCCACCCCCCAGTGTAACCTTTATTCAAGAGCTCGGCGGATGGATTTAGGTCTATTTACTGGTGTGCACCTTTATAGCCGGTTAGGGGCCTAGCGCCTTTAATGACCTGACCCGAAGGTGAGGCCGTCATTTTTGGCAACTAGGACTCTGATGGGTTTGAAACTACACGTTGATATTCTGCTCTCACGTTTTCCCATTTTATACCGGGATAGACTATACACACAAACACTCATGTTCTGTAGTTCTCATTTTATATTTGCTTGGAATGCTGCCTCGTGATATAGGGTTCGTGACCCAGCTTCTGGTCACGTGTTGTGTCCTTTGGCAAGCCACCTTATCTCTCTCCACCAAGGAGTATAAATGGATAACGAATTTGTGTAAAAAAAATCAGCGATTTGAGCCCAGTAACCCCATGATGACCTTTGACCCCTGTTTGGTCATGTGACTGGGCTGTACTGATACTTTTGACAAAGTTTGGTTGAAATCGGTCATAATATGTTCGAGCAATAGACAATGTCAACGTTTGTTACGAACCAACGGAGAGACATGGTGGGTTGTTGAGCTGCTATCCCGCAGCCAAAACTATAACTTTTTAACTATTTAGTACAACACCTACAATTTAGTTTAAATGATTGAGATGGGAAAATTAAAGATTGCAACCGATTCAGCTGGTTTGTAGACCAGTTGTTGAATTGGTTAACACCTCAAGAATAGCGAAACCACAACCGTTCGTTGTGTTGTAAGTTTGTCCTCATGACAAAACTGTATGTCTCATTATACACCTTTATTTACAATATCTGAAACGTTGTATAAACCCAGATTTTCTGAACTACACAGCTCTCTATATAAAGAAGATAGGCACCTTACTTAGATAGTAAAAGCAGTGTTTAACTGAAACTGATGTTGAAGTTACCATATTTAATCGATTTTTGTAGGGCCTGATGGCTTTTTTTCATTGGCAAATGACCATGGAACGTAGTCAGGCAATCCCTGCTCTATGCCTATAACACACTCAAACTATTTTTGTACCAAGTCCGTGTTGAGGAAGAATAAGTAAAACCTTACAAGTTTTACAGAAGGGAATGATACAATTCTTCAATTCTACAACCTCTAACTATTTTTGTTGAGATTGTGCCAAGCAAGTAGTAGATATATTTGGTCGCTTACTGGCAGGAATGGCATTGGTTTTCTTTGATTCTGTGGCATACCTGACCGACCGACAAATGCCTTTCCTTAATCTCTCAATGGTGTCTCCGTGTGCTTCTATAAGCTTTTATTGTGAAACTTGAACAGAATGCCGCCCGTGTGTAGGTTTATATATTGTTGGTTGGTGACTATCATTATGAGAACTCAAGGATAAATGGGTGTTTGTGGTTATTTAGTCTGTCCTCGGTATGAAGAAATGGGGGGCCTTGAGTAAATATGGACGTTTGGTTTAAAACCATGTAACTAGGGTCCTAATCGGCGCCGATAATGGCCCTCGTTTTTAACTGCTCCTTCGAACATGTTCTTATGTTAAGTCCTCATTTAACACACAAATAAACAATACAACAAAATATTGTGCATTGAAACTCATAGCAAGGAATTAAACTCAATAGTCACAAACACAGAGTGATTGGGCACACAACTATTTCAATTGACATTGCCCATTTAGTTGTGAAAATTTTTGTCAGAACATAAACAGGATCACGAAATAAGTCTTTCAAACTTACAGCAATTTGTTCTGTTTTGAAAGAAAAAGGTATATTTGCAAACATGTACCTTTTGTTTTACACGTACACGATATTTCCGGTTTGATGACGTCATCAGTTAAAATCAATACGTGTTCATCATGAAGTGGAGAAAAAACTTTTGAAAATTCGTTTTCGCTTCAGAAACGACGCGGTGTGTCGTCAAGAATACCTCATACCATGCAAGAATTATTATACACTTTCAAGGACATGCAGTCGTCTTTTTGCTGTGTTTTGGCAAATTTACACTAAGTTAAATAAATCAGTCATCATTGTCAATTTGGGTTACTAATATATCGGCTCTAAAGAAATACAGTACTTACCGTGGAAACGTCTTTATCACCGGTGTCTATAGAACTTTATTTTATACTGTTTTGCATAGGCCTGTTACTTCAAAATCTCTCACTGAAGCAGTGCACTGTATTAAACACTTGCTGTTCGTTTTCATCGAAGCGTGAAGCCCAACTGAATAGGTTTGGGAACAGCCAACACAATTTAACTTTAAAAAACCCCAGGGTGTTGAAGTGGGGTTTCATTGTACGTGTTATTTTTTCAAAGTGCAGTTCCAAACTTTAAGCTGTTTTTTTTTCTCCTGTAATCGCCGGAAATGAAATACGGTTAGTGTATGTTCAAGATTAGGCCTGTTTAAAGCCCGCCGCACACGTGAGAGCAACGAGCTGAGCAAATAGTCATTCGAGGCCGTCTGCTCAGCACGTAGCTCACAAAATATCCCCGTGTGCGCTGAATTTTTGCAGAGTTTTTTTGCGCCTCATGAGGCCGTTAGGCAAATATCTCTCCCCTGTTTGTTTTCTTTCGCCTCGCGAGGCAAAAGGCCCCTGCCTGCGAGTATTCCCTCTCCCACGAGGAGAGATGCGAGATAAGGGGAGGGGGATGCGAGATATAGAACACAATAGTTGAACCGTTTAAATCGGAAATGTGTATGGCGGGCTTAAGGAAATGTTTAAGTACAGGGATGATTTGTGGAACTCTTCCTATTTGCTGGGGTCTTTGATCGTTTATCTTGGTGGGGAGGTCTTATACATATCTCTATAACGCTCTCGCTGGTTCATTGACGGTCTTAATTTTGTTTGGCCTTGTGTGGTGCTGCATTAACTGGATGCCTTTTTTTTCAATATGCAACATAAAAACATACAAATACAACAGATTGAGCATAAAACTTAAAAATTAACCAGTACATCAGCAAAATCCATTTTCTGGAATACTCCAAAACAGACGACAGACAGAGAGTGGCGTAGCCAGGAATTTTTCAGGGGGGGGGGGGGGCGCGCTGGGGGGGGGGGGGGGGGGGCTGGAACATTTCATGGGGGGGCGTCATGTAGATCAATGATAATTTAGAAACTCAAAATCTCAGTGGGGGGGGGGGGCGACTGGGGGGCAGGCGCGGTTCTACGGGGGGGCTAGGGGGGGCTGTAGCCCCCCAAAAATTTTGTCTAGCCCCCAAAATAAATTCCGTAAAAAAAAAATTGCATTAGCAAAAAGAAGGATTGTGATGTACATGCGAACGGTCTCCCCCTAAAGAAGAAATAGCCGTGACAAGGGTGCATTAGTTAATATAGTGCAAGGGCGGATCCAGGAGGGGGGGCCAAAGGGGGCCATGGCCCCCCCCAAAAAAAACAACAACACGAAACCAATTTTTTTTTTTTATGTGACATCGCAATAAAGGCAGGCAATGAGAACACCACCATCTTTTCTTCAAAAACAATTGGTTAAACTGGTCAGAAATTGCCTCAGATCGCACCACAGAGCATCTAGAATCCAAAAATTGTTCGGGGCCCTTAAGCTGGCCCCGAACTCCACGCCGTAATTTTTTGGACCCACTTTTTTTGGGGGACCAAAAATTGTTTGGCCCCCCCAAAAAATTGTGTTCTGGATCCGCCCTTGCTATAGTGTGAATGATTTTATGATTTTATTGGCGCTCCCCATTCATATGGCATGAGTCCCCCCCCCCCCCCCCCCCCCCCCCCCCCCCCCCCCCCCCCCCCCCCACCTATTGATTTTCGGAGGCCTAAGTGTCTGGAAAAAATAACCGGTCTACATTTCAGCACGCCTCCCTGAAAAAAAATCTGGATCCACCGTGCTAGCCCCCCCCCCCCAAAATATTGGTTCTAGAACCGCGCCTGCTGGGGGGGGGGGGGGGGGGGAGGGCGACAAGGTTTCGGGGGGGGGGGCTGTAGCCCCCCACGCCCCCCGTGGCTACGCCACTGCAGGTCATACAGTTAAAGTTTATGTAAACTTGTATGAAAAGTCAAAGAAAAGTAACTCCCATGATCTATTTGACACCAAGTTTGTGTTAACTTGCCTGTAACGCCCTAAAAAATTATCCAGACAAATATGTTTATTTTGTAACATTTTATGTTCGTCTGTCGGTCTTCTATGCTGTTATGTTTACTTTTAGGTACCTTCAATGGTACTATGTTTAATTAACCTGTTCATTTGTTTAATTAAACTAATAACGCACATATAGTTGCCAAATATGGCACTAACAAGTTTCAGGTCGGCAATTTCGTCTTTAAAAATCTGGGTACATCGGGTTACCGTACACACAATTGTCCTGGAGACAACAGTACCAAAGTACAGAAAGTTGTACGCAAGAGCTCCCCAGCAAGTATCGCTGACGCCATTATGATTCCAAAATTTCTCACTGTGTCACACAGTGAAATAACTAAACAGCGTCGTTGTATTGTGAACACATAAAAGCATTCAAGTCGCGTTCTTGCACACTTTCTGCAAGTCGACATAGATATCCTTGAACCACTGCCCCTGCTTTGCATAACAAGTACACATGAATGAACGATTCGACTTTTATTCAAAGAAATTTCTATGTAGGCCTACAGTCACCAGACTCTATTCAGTAAAGTCCCCGTCAAAACGAAAGTAAACAACCCACGTGTATAACGCACGGCTACACCATCGTACAGTGTGGCAGGGACACCAACAAGTAACAAAACAACTAATTTTTGTTTTAAAAAAATTGATAAATATTCTGATTGAGTTTCGTTAAAAGATACTTGTTGGTGAGGTATCACATATTCTAGCAAATTGATAAAAATGTACAATATTACAATATGCAATTTTGAGGGAAATGGGCAAAATACTGCATAAATAATTTCACTTGATCATATTCATAATACACAAACCGACAATTTTCATTTTCAGACCCACAACGAGAAATATTGTTAACACTGGGCTTATTGTGAGGAGTTGTGCTGGGAATCCATGAAGATGTTATTTTCAACATAATTTCTAAACAATTTAATGGGACATTCATGTGACATGAGCCTTCCAGATGAAAAGTTTATGTGTGGGAAAGTATGGTACACAAACATAAATACCCCAATTTAAACAAATCGGGGAACATACTCTGAACCCTCACAGGTGATCAAAACATACATCAAATGAAAGCTGAATTAATCCTCTTTACCTTTTTTGGAAATCTTTTTCTTTTGGGGGGGGGGTTTGACCTAAATTTGGGTGATTTTTCCCTCCAACGATATTCACCCCATCGCCATTTTGAAAAAAAAAACACCAAACAAACATATTCCTTCCACTCCATATCAATATAGATTCCATTCAAATGTTTTGTTCAGAAATCCAAATTAGACATGGACCTTTCACTTCTACAAATACAGACCCTCAAGTGCAGGGGCCAAAATTCTTTATTATTACAGATAAACTAGTATACAAATCGTAATTTGGCCGGATTAGGTCGCGCCTTTTGGGCTGCCTCTCATATGTGCTGCGATCGGGAAATCTCCAGCGTAATAAAGACTTGAAGAAACTTGATTTGATTTATTTGATTCAATTATTTTATTTTAAATCTTAAAACATAAAATAAAAGCTAAAATTTGGACAGGCTGCCACGGATATGTAAAAGTAAAAAAAACCAATTGTCATCAGACGATTATCCAAACCCCTGCCAATAAAACAGATTTAAAATTCCATTCATAAAAATTTATGTACTATTGAAAAGTACATTGTACAAATCATACGAAACCACACGAGACGAGACATGACGAGACATGACGAGACGAGACAAGACGGGGAGATGAGACAAGACTCAGCAAAAAAATCATAGAGTGAAACATTAGACAAACCAGACAGATACAAAAATATAAAAACGAACTAATAAATAAATACTCTTACAACCCAACAAACAAACAAACAAATAAAACAAACAACCAGACTCAATAACGGGAATGAATGACAAACGGGCTAAAAAGATTATTACAAACAAAACAAAACAAAACCGAGAAACAAAAGCAATCCCATTCCCCAGAGAGAAAAATGCAAACCATAAAAACAAACAACCTAGTTGACATACATAGGTCTACACTCACATTAAATACACACACTAAAGAAACAACAAGGAAATACCCGGGAACAAAATGAAATAAGACACAATTTTACATTGACGATAAAATAAAAATGACTGCAATCATTCCTCCCTTAGTTTTGAAAGAAAAGATTCACAACCTTCCATAGTTAAAACTTTTTCTAATTTTAACACGGTGACTTCGGAGAACATCAATGAGGCAATCGAACAGTTCTCGTATCTTGTAATCCATGTGTCTATCAGTTCTAAGTTTCAAGTGGTGACACGTTAAAGGCTGTGCGACGGAGCTGCCCTGCAATTCATTCCTGAAATTATTGTTGCATTCCCTATTAGTTCATTAACTTTATATTAGAATCAACATTATTATCTATGATAACGAATTTGGCGGGAAACAGAGCTTTCACACAGTGACTTTACTGGTTAATTTAAATTTGTGGGGATTCCTCCAACGTCAGGCTTTTCCTTGGTTTCAACACCGGTGTCGGAGTCTCACAACACTAACTGGGGGAACCAAGTAACTTGTAAGCCAAAGATTCTAGCTGAACCGAGTGGGCACGGTACGAGCTATCGCTTCGCAGAGACGGCCGGACTGAAGCGGGAGCGGACCGCTACAGTGACGGGGAAGCAACAGCTGGACGGGGCCAGCGAGTGTACCGGATCACACCACGGTTCGAGCCATGGTGTGCATGGTCAACCGGGGCCAGTGGCGTAGCCAGGAATTTTTCAGTGGGGGGGGGGGGGGGGGGGGGGGGGGGGGGGGGGGGGGGAGGGGAGGGGGGTTGGCGCTGGGGGGGCTGGAACATTTCATGGGGGGGGTGTCATGTAGATCAATGATAATTTTTTAGAAACTCAAAATCTCAGTGGGGAGGGGGGGGGGGACCGACTGGGGGGGGGGGGGGCGACAAGGTTTCATGGGGGGGGGGGGCGGTCCCCCCACGCCCCCCGTGGCTACGCCACTGCAGACAGACAACACAAAAACAAAGGACTAGACTTTTCACTGTAGCACATTCTCACGCTCTTCATTACAAAAGAAACACATGTCGGAGTCCTTCTTTTTAATTTTGTAAAGAAAACTATTTGACCGGATGCCTTCTGGTGGATGAAAGGTTACATTCGTTTGGAGGTACCCTATTGAGGGAGGTTGATGGAGCTTAGGGCCCTAACCTTGAGCAGAGGAGATCTAATTATCTGGAAAGTTTGTGATTTGATGGTCTT